AAACACTACTATCTTAAGAAACTACTCAGTAGCTCATCTATTTACTCAAATCATTTAAATATTAATATTTTTAGAAGCCTACGGAAAAGTGTTCGCACAAGCCATTTGAACAAGGTCGGCATAAAGGGCTGCAATCACGGTGGATGGCGTCACCAGAGGAGCTGGCTGATTAGCTGCCAAGAAGTGTTTACAAGGTACTGTATCTTAGTGAATTTGGTGTGCTCAAGAAGAAATATGAGTGTAACCACCAAAAGTGAGTCACACAAACAGAAACACTGGTATATAAATCCAAACAAGAAATTTAACAGCTTTATTTCCTCCTTTAAAGCAAACTATCATCTACTAAACTGCGCAAAGGGACTTAATTGTGATTAGAATACTTAATGGCACCAGGCAGACACTCTGATACATGTACCTACACAACAGGAACAGCAAGAGCTGGGTAACAGGGATGGGCAAGCCTCCAGGAATGCTTTGGCACTGCCAGTTTTACTCTTGTGACTCCCAGCTTTTCTCTATGTTACCACTGTATATCACCCCCCTCTCAAAGTTCACATTCCTTCTTTAGATGTTAGTAACCTTTACTGCAATGGAACTTTAAACCTGCTACCACACTTGACTTCACCTGTCACTATACTATTCTTAAGTAGGAGGAAATTTCACCCATGCACAAGTTGATTTTCTTCACTTCTTTCTCAAAGGTAATATAAACCATGGTGGGTTGGTCAGAAACCCCTTAAGGAGGTATTGTGTTGAGATTTAAATAGTAAGAGTTACTTATCATTGTAATGTTAAGAACCTTGAATTTGAACCTGTGGTTAACAAGTTTTAAAAGGTTTTAAGAAGAGGGATAGAGTCAGGTATCACTTAAGACAATCAATTGTGAAGAAAAGGGCACGCTTGAAGCAGGGAGATCAGTTAGGAAGGAGCTGAGAACAGTATCTGGCACCTGATCTGGAATAGTGGCAGCAGAAACAGAGAAGATGGGATGAATTGGATGGAGAACAACGAATGGTTCAAAAAAGGTAGAACTCAGGGGTTGTTTAGATTATGGAGTAAAAGGAATCAAAGAGATGGCTCTCAGAATTATGGTTTGTGAGACTGGTTGAACTGTCTTAAAAACGAAAACCAAAAACATAGCACAGAAGGAAGTCTCATAAATCAAATTATGACTACAACTTCAAATAAAGAAATTCTACAAACAAGCACATTTTTACTTCCCCAATTTTAAATTATCATAAGTAATGTTAAACCAAAATACATCATATGCCGGCCAAGAAATTATTTCCTTATAGAGATGCAATAGGTAAGGGCCCCTATTTTACCAGGTCTCTGTAACTGAGAGAGATAATTTTAAAATGCAGGAGAAAATCCTCCAAGCACTACCTGCAATGCATTTTAGAACTGCATAAAAGCATGTAAAATACCAAAGATCATTTGAAGAAACAGCAGACTTAAAAAAGACAAATAAGGAATAGCATCCCATAGTCACAAAGCCTTAATTAGTTAGATCATCTACCTAGTCATCATGTATTCTGTAAATAAAACAGAATGCTACCTAATAATCACAGGTATAATCCTTAAATAAAATCAAAGAATAAACCAAATAATATAATAATATAATGAACAGGGAGGGCAAATCCCTTCAGTGAAGCTGAGGTCCTGGTATTACAGAACCTTCACTTGTACATGGGATTTAGCCACCCATGCATGCAGGTACTACAGCAGCGATGGCGAACCTATTACACGTGTATCAAAGGTGACATGCGAACTCATTTTTTTGGTTGATTTTTCTTTGTTAAATGGCATTTAAATATATAAAATAAATATCAAAAATATAAGTCTTTGTTTTACTATGGTTGCAAATATCAAAAAATTTCTTTATGTGACAGGGCACCAGAGCTAAGTTAGGGTTTTTCATAATGCTGACACGCCAAGCTCAAAAGGTTCGCCATCACTGTACTACAGTGTATTGTGTAACATGGACACATGGATGGATGGAACATCTGACTTATAGTGATAGCATCTGAATAACATAAATTGTTGGAACCAATAAGCTTTTAAAGCATACTATTTCATATCTCTTATGTTTACATCAACTCTGCCCTGTTGTAGAATAATTACCTCATGTTTAACAATTCTTATCTACTTGCAGAGAAATGATAACAATTAAAATTTTAAAAAATACAACATGTATATTTTATTTTAAAAAAAGTAAAACTGTTTTACTTTGTGTAGTCATAACAATTACCATTTGCTAAGTCCTTAGTTACTATGTGTCATGCTCAATATTCATTGAGAACCCAATATGTTCTATGTTTTATACAAGGAGCTTCAGACCAAGAGGACCTTATAGACTAGTCTACCAGGACCAGGTACTGCTAGATCCCTTTGATAATACTAAAAATCCTCACAATATCGCAGCAAGGCAGATGACATAGTACTTATTTCATAGATGAAGAAATTGAAAGGTTAAATTACTTTCCTAACTTGAGTAAGTGAAGAAGCCAGTATGCAATCCCAAATCTGTCTAATTCTAAAGCCCATGAACTTCCCATGGGCTCTATCTGCCTCTTCCTCTCTTATGGATAATAATTAATGACAAGTGAGTGGGTTCCTGCAAGCAGTAGGTCAACATAATGTTGGTCCATTTGCAGGGGAGAAGAAAAACAAGTCAGAGGGTCTACCTCAATCACATACATCAAGCGCGGAGTGCTAATTATCTCTTGCCTCTAGGTGTAACCTTTTGAGAGGAAGAAAAGGATAAGCAGCATTTCCCAAGTTACACGTCTGAAGCCTGTTTTAGGCACACGTGATGGAAGGCAGCATCCAATAAACACCTCTCTGCTCCTTGGAGGGGGTAACATGTAATGAAGGGCAATCCTGGAGCTTGCAGTTATCATATAATTTAATCACTGTCAATTACCTATGGTTTTAGAATATTTATGTGCAGGTTTTCTTGCTTACTATAAATCGAGAACTGGTATTGTTACCTTTTTAGAAATTAAGATATGTATGGTAGAAAACAGGAATAAGGCAAAGAAGACTTTTGATTTAATATAATCCAAATGCAATTTGGAGAATGTGGGAAATATATTCATACTAAGGTACAGATAAGTAGAAATGCTTGAATAGGAGTAGGAAATCCTTCTGCTACAAAGGGTCGATGAGACCCAAAAGAAGAGGAAAAAATGTAGCCATTATAAGTGAAAAGTAGCTCAATTAAAGTTGGATTTTTTTGAGTAGAAGCACTGAATTACAGAAGTAACGAACTGCAGTAATTATTGAGTCCAAACCCTCAATTTTCAAGATGTAAAAACTAAGAGATCTGTACAAGCTCACAGACTCAGTAGCAAAACTGGTCCTAGAAACCTCATCTCTTATGTCCAATATCCTGTTTTGTAGTTTCCCTACTTCCCTGATTATATAACCTGGGTGGGCCATTTACTATTTCTACAGATTCTGAGGCCTATCACTCGGAGATTGTGACTAAGAAGATCATTATGTGAATGAGGGTATGAACCTCCTAAAACGTTCTTCCTGCCTTGAGACCTGTAAAAGATAAAATAAACGGAGCCATTTTAAAATGGAGCCAGAGCTGCTATCCCAGAGGAGCCTCCTTCCATATTTTAGACCTCAAACCTATGGATTATTAAAACAGAGCTTAATAAACTTTGGATTGGGCCTAAAGCAACACTGTGTCCCAAAGGAACCTCTTCACCTGCATTTTATAACTGCAAAAAAGCATGTAAAATACCAAAGATCACTTGGAGAAAAGCAGACTTACGAAAGACAAATAAGGAATAGCATCCCAGTCACAAAGCCTTAATTAGTTTGATCATCTACCTAGTCATCATGTATTCTGTAAATACAACAGAATATTGTCAATAATCCTATATAATAAAAGGCTAATATGCAAAGCGACCAAATGGCAGAACAACTGGTCATTATGATGCACACTGACCACCAGGGGGCAGACGCTCAATGCAGGAGCCGGGCTCACGGCTGGCAAGCACAGTGGCAGTGGCGGGAGCCTCTCCCGCCTCTGCGGCAGCACTAAGGATGTCCAATTGCCAGCTTAGACCCGCTTCCTCT